GGGGGGGGGGGGGGGGGGGGGGGGGGGGGGTGGGGGGGGGGGGGGGGGGGGGGGGGGGGGGGGGGGGGGAAGGATAAGGATGTACAACGAGGGAAGGCGGCGGTGTGTGTGTGTCCTTTCTTGAGTAGTGTTGGCATCGACCGCGCTACAGTAGCGGGCAAAAAGAACGCCAGTCTTGTACATGTAGCGGGAAGGAAAGCTCCAACACTTTTCTAGTCAAAGGGTACGTGAGGGTTTGTGTGTGTGGTTCCCTGATTCGCATCGACCGCGTCAACCGACCAACCAATGTAAGATCCCAGTACCATCGGGAGCGAAAGATCCCAGCATCAGTCAGGGATGCGGGTAAGACAACACATGGGGAATTTACAGCAAATATCATCGGGGGACTCGAAAACAAAGAAGGCGGAGGTGTGTGTGTGTGTGTGTGAGGAGGGAGGGAGGGGTCACCGCAGCCAAAAACGGATGGGGATGGGGTGTACATTTCCTTCCCTGAACCAACGCCACGGGAGCACGGCGGCGAACCTAACACCCACAACCCCGGAAAGAGGCAGTAGCAGTTTTCCAACGTGCTCCACGTGCACCACAAGTAGCAGCAGCACCAGCGAAGGTATCGCTGTGGCACGCGAGATCCCACATACATTTGTCTCGCTCTGTACATATGGTGGTCACCAACATCGTCTGCTCGCTATTGCCGAACGTTCACACGTGTGTCATACAGCGAATTCTCCTCCAAAAAATTAGGAGGTGGACCCGCAGCCGGCAACCACAACAGACAGACAGAAGCGCCGTCCCATTTTTCGACCGACTCGACTATGTCTATTTACCGCACCTGCGCCTCTTCGATGAAAATCCAGATTCGCCGAGCGGTCTCGGGATCCTTGGCGCACGCCGCCAGGGCCTTGTAGATCGATCCCTTCAGGGACGGCCGCACGCCACACGTCACCAGCTTTTGCCATTTTGTCGTTGTCGGTACCACAGGAGTGACACAACGGATGCCCAAACAAAACACAAGGAAGGAAGGAGGGAAGGACACGATAAACAAAAAAAACGGGGAACAAAGAAGGCGAACGAATAGAAGAATCGTCGAAAGAAAAAAAAACGGAACAAAATAATTGTGAAAAAACGGCAAGGAAAAACAAATCACATGTATGGTAACGACAGCAAAGACTTGGCTTGACGCACAAGCGCTCCAGATGCATGTGATGTCTGCCTTGTGTGGCAAAAAAAAAAAAAAGGCGACGATTCGGGTCCGTCTACATCGATTCCTCCAGCGATGCCTGAATACCAACACCGAGTAGTTGACAAACATGTATCAATATACACCCGACAAACATGCGATCAAACCAAACATTGTCAATCAATCACACGTGCGAGCAGCGGGCGGCAGCAGCAGCAGCAGCAGCAGCGGCTCACGTTGGTCAAGGCCGTCAAAACCCGCAAGCTGTCGCCGCTGTTGGTCAGGGACCGCCGGACACCCTCGTCAAGCATGACCCTCTGCAGCAGGCCGCACAGAGCCTCCAGTACCTCGTACGCCCTAGGGCTGAAAAAGGGGACGGGCGGCAGCAGGAAGGAGGGGGGGGTGGGGAGGCAGGCGATCAGGACTGGGTGCTCTATGGAAACAACGTGACCTGTGTTGGTGATTACTCCGAGAATTGGTGAATGGGTGAATGGAAGCGAGGGAGGGGAGGTGAACGGAATGAAAGCAACACGAGGGGTGGACGGAGAGTGGGAAGCGGACACACACCAAATAACAAGCCATCGAGAGAAAGAAGCAGGACCGGCAATGCGAAGATAGCAACGATTAGGAAACAAGGGGGGGGGGGGGAGGGGGCACC